AGCAAGATTGACAAATACTCCCGTATACAACTATACATATTGCTCAAGCGTATTGAACGGTGGGATACAACCCTAATGCTTTGAGCATTACTATATTAGGTATATTTAATGCAAAATTAGTCCCACCCCTATATTTTTATTAAAACTTAAACATTTCAGTTAACAATATGAGATAAGTATATTTATAATATATTGTAACGCTAATATTAAAGAATCTAAATAATTCTAATATAATACGTGCATTCTGACTAACTCTCAAAACAACGTACGTGGGCCACAACAAGAGTTATACAGACTGTCAACTAAATTTTCTACCTTAGCTAATTCACATAGCGTTCAAAACTGTAGTTAAAAAAGGTGACATTCTATACAGCTCGACGAATGGCTGAGTGGATATAATTTTGCGAATAGTAATGTTATAAATAAAAACAGAAATCAATTTAATTGATATGTTCTGTTACTAAGTACATTGTTTTGAAACATTAATCGAATTATTGGTGTACAATAGTTTTTGTTGTGTATGTAGTAACATTTTCTTTAGCATGAGATACTAGTACAAAAACAATAACGTACCGATAAAACATATAGTAAGTTACAACTTCAACTCGGTTTGGACCATCTATGGTGTCGCAAACGGACACACGAACGTATCGTTTATGGTTACCCTATCAGAAGTCCGAAATTACATTTGCCCGAAGTAACGTTTGCTCAAATTTTCATAATTCGAAAAGTAATTTTCTGCGGAAAACTTTTTCTTTTTAGGAATATCATAAATTAAACCTAATCTCACCTTTTTTGCGATAAATATCCAAAATACTCTGAAAGGATAAACTATTTCGATATAAATCTGGCTTTGAGATAATGAAAATCGAGCAAAGGATATTTCGGGCAAATGTAATTTGGGATTACTGATCGGTTTCCACCGTTTATACGACAGTTAGGCAATATGTTCCAGTGTTTGCATTTACCCTCTGCATTCTCTATTATGTATTGCATCTAAAAATGTGACATACAGAATCCGCTCTGGCCTAATTAGCTTTTTGTTCAATTTTTTAAAGATCGTGATGTGAAGTGCCAAACAGAGAGCATATGTTGCCCTGAAAATGTTGTTCAATGTTGATTACGGCTAGAGAGCAAGATATTCCACAGATGGAGTGAACGAGTGTCCGCCTTCGCGGGGTCTATAATTTCTTAGTTCCCACAAGCAATGAGTTCTTGCATTGTACCATGTTATTGTTACGTTACTGTACGCAATCAAAATTGGCGCCGTCATTGGTTATTTAAACACGGAATAGAAAACGTAATCCACATACATTTTAGAGAGTGCATCTCCAGCTAACGTATTTTACAATAGCTAATCACGCTGGCGGCATGTCGTTTTTAGCTTGATGGCGGAAAACAATCTACAATCTGACGAATCACAATTCAAAACTCTAGAGTCCATAATGGCTAAATAATGTTCTTATTCATACGAGTGTGGCACACACCGCAGTTACGATCAACGGGCTCGTATAACACTAACTGACAAGTCACGTGCGTAAGACGCCTAATATAAGGGCTCATTCACGCAGGTCTTGGCATCTTCCCTTTCACAGTGCCAAAGCGACTAACACCGTAAGATCCACACAAAATTTCATTCATCATTTTCAAAATTCACGTTAATTATGTTTTTCATGTTATCTTTCCCTTTCACAAATTTATTTCTATTTACCTACACAGTATTGATACACAGCCCTAGAGTTAATTATAACAGTCAGATTTCAATGTACTACCATTCAAACTAAAAAAGACGGCCGGAAGTCGGTCCCACATTTAGACATCTGCACGAATGAAGGTATCTTATTGCTTTTGGGGATTTTTTTATTAACTTGAGGTTTATATTAAAGAGACGTCATCGTGGAGTCGAACCCGTCTATTAGCTAAATATTACCCGTATATTACATATATCGCACACCGGCTTCAACACTGACACAACTCAAAAACGGTGAGCGTAGTAGGTAAAAATGTGACAATTAACAGTGCTTAAAAGTCAATTAACAGTCCTTAAGTCCTTAAAACCAATTTTTTTACTAAGAAGCAGGGAATTTTTTTTAGATTAACAAGTGCGCATTTCGACCGTGAACTGGCAACCGGCACTATCTCAATTTTGACAACTTTACAATATGAAGAAAAAAATTGTTAGTCATTTATATAGCATCTGATTTAATAAATAAAAATACGTAGTTTTTAAATATTTTTATTACACATACACCACGTATTTTTATTTAATAAACCAGATGACGCAAACAATTCTTTTTCTTCATTGTGTAAAGTTGTCAATATTGAGATAGTACCGGTTGCCAGTTCACAGTCGATTTGTCATACCATCTGACTTGACAGAAAATGACGACGAGGTCGCCGATGGACCATGCACACCTAAATATTGCTTATTTACTCTCGCCTTGAATAGGCCCTAAGTTTTTGCACGTATCGTAACACCCAAAAAAAACATTATTTTGGATTTGTAACTTTTTTGAAGCCGTTGTGCGATATTTTAATACACAGCACTAACCTAACAAATGTAAATAATGTATAATTGGTGTTATATCTTGGGCAATGCGTACTTGCAACCTCAGTAAATAAAATTTGTTTCAAAATTACTCACTTAATATATTTCTGCAGCCGCGTACCTAGAATACACGCATTATTATTAAATAAACTAACGGAAAACTCACGTACGGTAACGTCACGTTTTCGTCGTCTCACTGCCGCGGAAGCTCATGATTAAGGCAAGTCATCGGGTGATAAGCATAGAAAAACCGTTTTGCTAGATAAATGAGTTAGGTATTTACTATTAAAGTCTTAGAAGAAATATACGATACATCTAAGGATATTGTCTAAAAAATATGCTAATTTGTAATATAATGTACTTTACTCGATCTATCCCGAATACAGGCTTAAATAAATTGTGTAAAGCATAATATTTAAGAATAAATACCTAACTTTGCATATAATTTTTACAGAGAAACTGCTAAATTTTGGTTTTCAACTGATGCCCAGTAGTTATTAAATTCAGGTTTATCCCAAAACTTGAAAATTGCCCGGCGGCGCGGTAGCGATCGGGCGGTTGTCAACGTCCGATCTGTGTCACATTTTCTCCGCTTGTTCTTATTTAATCATATTATTTTCTGCACGCGGATCGCGAGACTCCACACCACACCACTTAAAATCTAAGTTCGCGTAAAAATACCTCGCCTAAAGAACTACGGACTGATTCGACACATACATGAATTACCTGTTAGTTTAGTTAATATGCCAGTCCCACTGTACTTTTCTATTAAATAAAATTTCGAGACTAATTAATATCTTGCACTTAGCAAATTTGTTTATTTACCGAGGTTGCTAGTTGTCAATTGTCATAATAACGTATCAGACATTGCAGTATAATCCTTTATATAAAATAATGTGCCCACAGATAATATTTCTCCAAGTGTCCAAATTTAACTAGTCTCATTGGTTCAACTCAATACAAATTCAAGATTATTTTGTTTTTACAGGCTCTTTGAAATTATCCAGGTATATAAAATGTTATTCTTCTATTACAGATTCGTGCAAATGTTTACCGGAGGCCGATAACAGGGTTTATTTAGCGCGCGCTGCCAGACTTACTATGCTGGATGAGCCATTGTAGCGTGATGTCGATATTATCCTTCTCCTTGCACGAAATTGAATAACAACAGATTTCGCGGTCTTGAATAGCTGATAGGTTCCTGAAATAAGACTAGTGTTAATAAGGATCTTTTCTCAAACATGTTCGGAAATATTTGCATTACTTTCAAAAAACGAACACGGAAAGTTTGTCATTTATGGACCATGCGATTTCTTCCTGGCGACGAAAATCCATTACTGTCCTCTTCTCTACACTTTTAAATCTACCTACTAATAATGAACTATGTTAACAGGTAAAAGAAAAACTCATACAGCCAACAGCCCAGTGCTCATAACAGCGAGAAAAAAGAAAATGGCGGTAACATTTAAACTAAAGTGGATTGGTGGGTATTCTTTTGTTTTTTTTTTCGCCTTTTTTTGGTCGCGAAAATGAGTGCTAATGAAAGGAGCGATAACGAAAATACAGTATTAGATAGATATTCAAACACATTATCACAAGTTCAGCAGATTACTATTAATGTGCCTGGAAAACCAATTAATATCTTTTACTTTTTTTATCCTACATCTTACTGTCCTTAGTCTTTTATCATTTCATCACATTGTTTGAGAAAAATTCTATACATGCCTCGGCGGGAACGGGGATTGCTTGACTTGTATTAAAACAAGGCCTCACTGGCGCGTTGTAACTCATACTCGTCCAGCAATCCCTTACTTCCCGGCCTCTGCAATAATGTACTATGTTTTACAGTCGAAGTCAAATAATCTTTATTTCATAGATAAGCTAATTACACTTGAAATCGTCAACTGATTAAATTCTTTTGATTAAACTCTACTGCTCATTCATAAGGCAGAGTCCCCTGAGAAGAATGAGCTAGAAAGTCTAGGAGTTGCTCTTTGTAAATAAACAAGTATAAGAGCATCGTGACATTAACTTATTTTTAACACGAGTATAATTCAATATTTTATAAAAGAAAATTGTTACTGATGCGTGTCTGTTTGTGGCCATTGCCAATGGTTTATAGAAGTTTTACTAGTCTACCAAATGACGTCAGACTACACCATTGTATAGAGTAAGTAATCGTTTTGGGATATGGCAACATTCGACACAGTATTACAAAATATTTATCTATCTATACCATCGAGTATATGCCTAGAAATAGAGACGAAATAAGGGCCATTCATCCATGGCAAGTCCTCATCAGGCAAATGAACCTTATATCACTTTTAAATATCAACTCTCGTTTGCACTGAAATTACAAATTAGAAAGCTGAAATAGCACAGCGCCAACAACTGACCCGTGTGTACGTCTCCGTATATTCGAAAAATAATCTGTATTTATTGTAATAAAGATAATATCTCTAACTATAGGCTGTTCCATTGAGAGGTGTGGGAAAAATAGCAAAACATCTAATTACAAAACAAACGGAATCACATTTCATCGGTAATTAAATAGTAAATATGTAATTTTTCAATTTTGGTCCATTATAGCAAAGCTCAACTTAAACTGGTCTATTTGAAGTGAAACAATTGACGACACCCGTCAATTGTTTCGAATTCGGGCTGGCCAATCAGAGTGCAGTTATCACCGCTATGGTATGGCAGAATAGTTTTCAAACAAATTAAATGACATTTTATCTCTATTTCTGGTTATATACTTGATGATCTATACTCTAAACAAATTAATTTGCTCGGCAATTTTGCTAAGCAACCAATGATGGTAGGTGTACAGTCTGCTCGCGTAATTGGAATTTAAATAGGTAAGCAGGTAATTTGGGTTACATAGAAATAATACTTACCTAGCCAATTATATAATGTTTGCAAAGTAGAGATATAAGATAAAGATACGTATGATTTATTGATAAAGTTTTCAATGCCTATTAATGATTACTGCTAGATTAGTAATGCTAGAGTAGTAATGGTGCGTTCCCATTATGTCGTGACGACAGATAGTCGTGCAGTTTAAAGTGTCGTGGCTTGTATATTTAAATGAAATTGTTCACATATAGTAGTAAAACACGATTAACTGTCGCTCACGATTTTTTTGACGTTACGACGACAGACTGCCATGACAATGGGAAGAACTAGAACGACGTCGTCTGACGGTAAATAAAACGCCATGATAAAAACGTGACGACAAATAATCGTAGCTTCAAACAATTCTATCGTGCAAACGACAAGGCTGCCGTGAACCGATAAAGTGTCGTTCAACAATAAAATAAACGTCCACGACACAGTCACGACAGATAGTCGTGATATGGGAACAGACTAGCCACGACAGTCGTCCAACGATAAATAAAACGTTACGACATAATGAGAATGCGCCCTAATGGTAGATGAAAAGTAACGAAATTGTAAGAGCTGGTTTTGTACCTATTAATTTACTACAGGCCTACCGCTTAACTGAATCAGTTCCTAAAGTAGCTGCGCGGTCTGGGAGGAGTGACAGTTATGTTACGCTGCACACGGGATAATTTCAACAAGGTTTTTCTGACTATATTCAATAACAAATTGATTGAAAAAAGAGCCTACCAAATAAACCTTCGTTGCAATTCATTTTAAACAAACAAGTCACTGACCCGACCTTAGACGGTTTAGTGATGTAATGCCAACTACAAATCGATTAATTGTATGAATCGATGAATGTTTATTTGATTTGATTGATTTATTTAATTTGTTACTAGCGGTTTTCCTTACATAACCTATATAAGCATATTAAAATTTCCGAAAGCTTAATTTTAAATCCTCCGTCAAATCCTTACACTTATATAATCGTTCGATTGCCATTGAAATATTCGATTTACTAATCGATTACAAAAACTTTACTTCTGTTCAAAATGGATTGGAACGGACTTTAGTTAGTAGTAGTTATGTAAAACGATAATAAAAAAAATATTTCAGTGATAATTGAAATGAATAGACACCACCTGACACTCTTTTCAATCAACTTGTTATTGAATATCGTCAGAAAAATCTTGTTGAAATTATCCCATGTGCAGCGCGACATAACTGTCACTCCTCCCGTAAACACGTGATTTGAATAGAACACGGCGTGGTCCAACAGTCGATTCAGATGGCGCTGTCATGATACACTCAGCAAATATTCTTTATAGCTACTACTTACATTCGTTCAATGAGACCATGCTCATCCAATGCATTGGGCAGATCCCGTTTGTTACCAAGCACGAGCACTGGAATGCCGGTTAACTGTTGCTTCTCCAGTAGATTGTGGAGTTCGTTCCGTGACGCCTCGATTTTGTCAGGATCAGCAGCGTCTACCATGTATCTGAAGACATTGGTAGATACATTAACTGATGAATTGTACTTAAGTTGAAAAAGTGCATAGTCTCACGAACAGTATTCCACCTGCATGACAATTGCAAGATACGAGCTAGAATAGACTTGGCAACTGCTCGCTGTTAAGTCGCCAAGTTGTAATAGTGATTCGATACGAATACGGATAATACAGCTTATTCCTATATATTTAGTTTAACCTAAAATAGCACTATAAACTCATACCGTGCACTGGTAACTAATTGATTAGTCCATAGCGTATGTGACGCATTCTACGTAGATTCTAGCTAAATATAACTTGGTAATTTAAATAAATTGTATTGTATCTTTTTCTTACTGTACTTCTGACTACATCTTTTAAAATTAATTTTAAACAAATATAATATAATGATCAAAATAATTCGCAAGAACATAACAAAAAAGTTGTGAATGCAGATTTAATTTTATTTCTAAATAGAATATTGGCTTCCAGTTGCCGGTTGCTTGTATCCAACACAAGACACACGTTCACGCGGTGCCTAACTTTCACCGTTAACGAGATATATTACTAATAAACAATCACAAAAGTGCAAATGTACGTAACGTAAAAATTAATTTCATTAGTGCATGTCTCCACAGAGATTCGAACAATTGATAAGCAATGGGGAAGACAATGGGAGAAATTCCACTTCACTGCTTGTTTGCTATGAAATAGCATAGTGAAAATTTTAAAAATATATAAGTAACTCACACAATAGCGTTAACACCTCTGCAATATCTTTCCCACATAGATCGAAATCTGGGCTGGCCACCAATGTCCCATACCTGTTAGAAAGATTGTGATGTAAAATTATATAATAAAGTTAAAATATAATGTTTGTTTCTTAATGAGAATGAAAGCATTGCTTACCTTGATAGTGACATTGCCTTTGGTTATTTTACGCATATTGAAGCCTACAGTGGGGATCATATCTTCACTAAACTGACCAGACTGGAAAAAACAAAAACACATAATTAACACGCTAGTAGTTATAGTTGGATTGCAGTAACTAGTAGCTCAAATGCAGAAAGTGGTGCTACTGAGTACGGTATGTATCGTTCACCGGTACTTGCGAGTCCTTGACAGCTGACTATGCCAGTGCTGGACAACTGTCCTTAAATACTCAAAATTTATCATTTAAAACCTAAAATAGATATCCAAAATAATTATAACAATTACCTGGTCTCAAACTAGGGAATTTTCTATAACAGATCAATGAAATTGTTAATTGAGTTTATTAAGTTTATTTCCAAATTGGTCCTAATGAGAATCGAATCCGGAACCGCCTCACCTAGGCTGCTGGTATAACTGGACCACCAAGATCGTCACTGATTTGACGGTAATAAAACGATATTTGAAAAAGATAAGCCGATGAAGTAGATATGCAGAAATTGTTGCGATGGAAGGCATTTTCCATTCAACTACAAAATTTAATAATAATCTCAGTGTAAAAGAATAAAAAAAAGTCCATAGACTTTAAATTGTAACGAATTCAGTATTTTCTATTTTTATATTTTTATTCTAATTTTTACCGCATTAACATGCTCTTGTATAATTATCAACTTATGACGATCCTTGATGGAGAATGATATTTGATATGTAATTTAATGACAACAATGTTATATAATGAATTGTTAATTTTCTAATTATTGTGTGCTTTTCTTATAATTTTCCTTTTTGTCTGACGATCTCAATATAATTTCTTATACTTTGACATGTAGTGCAATTTATGCTGTAATGTTATATTTGAGAAATAAATGAATCTGAATCTGAGTACAGAGTACTAAAAAAACCGATCTCAAAAGTACGTGGAATGACATCTATTTGCCAAGTTTTTTTGAAATCGGTTTCCGGAAAGTGCGCAAACCCGGATTCACCCCCTAGTTCACCACTATACGGAACTTGACACAGGAGATAATAAAAATCGGTTCTCACTACTCAAAGTATATTCAGAGACAAAAAATGCCTTGAATTAGAGAATAGCAAAATCAACCATTAAAATAATTGCTCCTTATAATAAGATTTAGGCGCTATTTATAAAAATGAATCTTCTTGCGTGAACAACCTCTCTTAGAGGTGGATGAGTTTGTTCAAAATTAAATGGGACCACTATGGAGGTACCCTCTTTCCAGCAAAAAAAAGAATCATGAAAATCGGTGCACAAATACCGGAGTTATCGCGTAACATACATACAAAAAAAACATACAGTCGAATTGAGAACCTCCTCCTTTTTCTGAAGTCGGTTAACAATAAATTGCTAAAGGCAATCACATTATATATATGGACGATACTGACTGCACTGTAATTTTGGTATACTATAAAACACATTATTTTGTTAGTTCAAACAAACCTAAATTGAATTTTTACATATCTGTCCCTTTCATTATCAGTTAAACAATTAAACAGTCAAAACAGTTCAGTGTCAGTTAAACAGTTAAAAAATCACAAATTTAATTTTTATTTGGAACTGTTAATTTTGACAACACTATTTTCGCTGTTAACATTGTCTATGGCTTCGAATCATTTAACAGCTCTAAACAAACATTAATTTTTTTTTCAAGTAACAAGGGAAGAGACTTAAATGTAGTTGTTATTGTTTACGATAAAAGCATCATATGACTGATGAAATGAAACAATGTAAAACTAAACAATTTTCCATAACAATATGTTTAGTAAAAGTATGTTTTAGTAACAGTTGTGAAAGAGTTCAGGGAACCAGGGTATAATACCTTACCTATTTCTGCTGCCAAGCAGTAACATCACCATTACTGTGTTCCGGTTTTGAAGGGTAAGGTGCTGGTGAAATTCCAGGTACAGGGGACTTGTCAACTTATGTCTCAGTGTGACGTGCAGTGGCAGTGCGCCTCAGATCTTTGCGATTTAAAGCTGAGTGGCACTGCAACTGCTATGGAAAGGCGTGTACCTTACCATCAGGCGCACAACTTATTTGTCCCGTCACTTAATATTATAGAAAAAGTGTTATAGGACTGGATGTTCAATTAATAGAAGTACATCAATTCAAAACATGTATATATCTATATACATCATTTTGGACAAATGTTTACTTTATCTACATTTGTAACTTTTTATCACACTACAAATTTAATGTAATAAATAGGAAGAATAAAATCCAATGTTTGACTAAAACTAGGGACGTAATGATAGTGCATTTTTGATTTCCAAAACATTGAGTTACAGTTTTCTTGCAAGTTTCCTATTGTCTTATCATCCATTACAATCTAGTGAATATATGTATATCACTAAGTAGCAATTTGATAAGATAAAATAAAAATATTATATCACTGAACTTCAATGAAATGAAATATTTATTCGCAAGCAAGCACGGTTACAAAAGATATACAAGTTATAAATAAAACAACACATCCGTAAAACAAAGATGCAAGACTACTTGTTTTCAGGACAAAGTACATATTGTTTGTTCTTCTTCACTGTGGATGTCAGATTGAACGTTGTTAGATTTTATATTTCCGAAATGAAATAAGACATATAAATTCTCAAAACACTTTTACATAGGTCTTAGTTTCAATAACGAAATTATTATCGGAACATAGTTATTCTCTTTTTGCTAATAATCACATCACACTTCATTCTTCAGATGAGTCAAAAAGTTTTAATCTCAATATTGTCACAATTATCTAGTATTGACTACAATGGCAGTTTAGAATAAAGACCTGATTAGTACTTTTTATTATTAGAAGGATGCTTTATGTAGGGTTTATTCAAAATTTCATCACTGTGAACAATAATTAACCAATTGTGATCACCACATATTACAACTCAAGAGTTTATGATTGAAGTTGTTTCACCTCCTCTAGCATTTGTTGTCGCAACAAATGCTAGAAGGCAGCAATAGCTAAGGAGTAACAGAGGCTTGTTATCCATTTCATAACAGGAATAGCAATCTCTCACTTAGCTTGAGATTGGACAACTGTGAATAAAATCTACAATATGTTGTAAGAACCCCAGTCATTGTTAGGAGAGTATTCCTGCTCAATGGTTTTCTATTGGGTTTTTTTCATGATACCCAGTGACAGAACAAACAAGTAGTGGGCCTGAAGGTAAGTGACACGCCTGACCATAGCAGTTACAGTACAGTCCAAAGATCAGAAAGGCACTCCTACTGTGGCTATCACTTTAAGACATGAGTTAGCATGATCCATGTGCCTGTAATGTCACCACTCTTACCCTTCAAAACTTGAACGTAGTAATACTCACTAGGAAATAGGTACGGTGGCAGTACTTCACTGTACAAAGTTTTTCGTAAGGAGTTTTACTATTTTTACTTTTTTATTTATTTAGAATGCATAGCCAACACAATTGATATACAGAGTATAGCTAAAATGGTACAATCAAAATATACTAGGGTTTGTTATACTGTAAGCATTAATGAAGGTTTTCAAATGTTGTAGTTTGCATATTGTTATTTCAGATATGACCCAACATTCTCTATTATTTATTTTGTTTTGTTTGTATAATTTATTTTAATAAATAAGAATCATATCTGGTTTATTGGACAATGAAAGTGTTGTAGTTAATAGATGTTGGAGACAATGTTGCTAAAGTAGACCAAGTAATATAATGGAAATGATTGAGTGTGTGATGATTGGTACAAAAGATATTGCACTTAATGGGCGCAATAAAATATTTTATCTGCAGAGAAATTAAACAAATCATAATGCAAAATATATTTTTACTTAACCTAAAAAAAATATTGCCTGCTTAAAATCCAATATATTAACACACCATCTACATTCCAAAATCAGTATATTAAAAGTAAAAAAAAAATAGCATTCTAAATTCGAATCAGGCTTTAAAACAGCTATTAATGTAAAATCAAAAGTGAATCCAGTAGCAATTTGATCGGCAATGTAGTAACTATAGAACACACGAAATATAAATGGCTTGTCTTCATATAAATGTGCGAGGTGAGTGAGTAATAAGAGCCCGAAAAAACGCCACCCAATCGTGTGTCATTTTGTATGTACAAAACCGTGCACTTTATTAGGATTAACGCCATCGCGACTATCAAATTTCATATCGAATTCATCGCTCTGGAATGCTTCATAGCACACTAAACACTGCGTAACTCAAAACAAGAAAGCACATTCAACAACACAAATTATTGTTTTCTGATAACTTACAGCAATGACGTTAACAAAAGTTGTTTTTCCGGAGTACTGCAGCCCGACCAGCGTAAGCTCCATCTCTTCCTTCCAAAACAGGCTTTTAATCCAATCAAGGATACGATTGATCAAAGCTAACATTGTTAACGTTTAACCACAGTATTTTTCAAGAAAAAACGTAAAATAAAACGCCTCTTCCGAAAACCAATTTGACAGTCTTTGCCAATAGCGTTTTGTTATTAGTACATAAGTGAAATGAAATGTAATTTAGATTAGTTTCACGCCATTTGAATCAAAATCTTCAGATTTAAGTAACAACAAATAATTACAGACTTTAGCTTTAGAAATGCTTTTAATAAAATGTTTTATATTTTAAATTATAATTAAATTTATTAAATTTTTGACCAATTGACAATGTTCTTCAAAGAAAACAAAACGCAAGCGTACTGTCAATTTCGCACAATGTTGCCGTTTAAAATATTCATATTCAATGCAATCTTTTCTTTTGTTGTTTCTTTTCTTCAAAAATCCTACTTGTTTTTCTAATTAAGTTTATTAAATAACGTAGAGTTTTACTGTTATGACATAAAGAAATAAACTCATTTAATGTAGTGAAGTCTCGACTAGATGACTGGATGCACAGTAAAGTTGATCATAAACTTCAGAATTGTATGTACGCGTTATCTTTATCTACAGACATGCTGTCCATCAAGGAAAAAAAACTTAGGTGCCAGTATTATTAAACATATTTTAGCATTACAAATTATCGTATCGAAATGATGAGTAATTATCTCAAGGTTCTATATAATTTGTTTATTTGTAACGTCAAACACACTAATTAAACGGCCAATTCACTACCTGCATAGCCGTCCATACTACGAGATATCTTTCTAATTTGTGGGCAGTCCGCGGCGGCGCGGCGCGGCCGGCAGAAGACAGCTCACACACTATCCTGCATTATGGCCCACGTATGGAGTCTCGCAGGATGCATTGCAGGATGGCTTGCACACTGCGACTACATTCATAATCATAATCCTGCATTACGCGGCGGACGTCAAGGCGAACTGCAATGCAGGACAATGATGTTTTACAAACTACAACAAAGAAATAATTAATTAATTACCACCAACGTCATTATCACTAGTGTTGCCGAAAAAGGGGCTACTTACTACTTAGTACTACTCATCTATGCTCATTGCTTATATATATATATATTGCACAGAAAAAATAGTAGATTGAAGAAAAAAACAATAGATGCTGAACTTACGGTGTTTGAAGCACTTTTAATCGATTTTCTTCAAACATTGTCACCTAATGTTTATGGTGTTATCTTACAATATTGGTATCTCACAATAAAAATTGTATTGAATAATATATACATGGATATTACTTCCTCGCCTTTTCTAGACCTGTGATTGACAAATATTTCAAAATACAAAAAAAAATGAAAGGACGATGTTCTATGATTTAACCACATTGTAAAGTTTTGCAAAAACTCTTACAAATGTTCAAAATGTTCAGAGAGTCACGTTAATGCTAAATGCATGCACGTAAAAAATTTTTAGTACATACATTTATGGACCAGCTAAAAAACATCATTCAGTGGAGTGCATAAAGTATCTTAATATAAGTATTATATCTAATAAGAACTGTTTACAACATTTTTTATTTAATGTGCTCTACACTTTCATTCCAAAAACATAAAGTACGACGTCGTAAATGGAAAAGACGATTCACAAAATCTAAAAAGCCAACAAGAATAGTTGCGAAAAGTGAAAAATCTGACAATTACTAAAAAATAGTAGATTTTCGCTAAAAAACAGTACAACAGAGGATGTCGTCCAAAAACAGTAGATCTACTGGAAACAGTAGACCTGGCAACACTGAGCCGGACATAGTATCTTTATAAAAAAATAAACATGTGCTGCCATCTACTTACTGCTAACAGTATGTAAGCTTTGTACGTATATACTGCTCCTTTCGTTCCATGGTTCACATCCCACCTTTTTTAAAAACAATTCAAGAGCGATACAGTTCTGAGGTTAATTAGAATTTTATATTACACCCTTAAAAACTGAAATAACAATCACGAGTAACATCTTTACTTCGTAGGTACTCGAAGAGTGGTTAAAATATTTTTCTACGAAGATCAGTCAAATAGATACAATATTTCTAATATTACACATTTGCTATTGTCATAATCGCTCTTGTAGAGAGAGAGTTCGCGATGACGTCATTTTTTAGAGAAAATTAATATCGGGGAAGAGATTACTTTTGTCGTCGGGCTCATGCTTAGTATACAGAAAACAGAAATAGATTAATGACAGATTCAATTAAATTTACTCATGTATCAGAATTGTTTTAATCATGAGATATAAAGCAAAAAGTAATTCTAACTTTATTGGTAGCGAACAAATCTGTTCGCAAGCATATGCCTAAATTACATAATAATTCGATTAATATCGTGTAGATGGCAGCAGTTTGTAAATTCATTTTTTTTTATTTAGGCAATTTGAGGCGGCGGCGTGCTTGGATTGACTCGGGATTCCTTACAACGGGCCGATACGGGTATTTTAGTTCGAGATTCGTATAATTTCGCATTTTAATCTTCGATTAAGGCACAATAGCACTATCCTATTCCACTTTAAACTAGATTTCACAAAATAATTGAAAGTCAAAATAAAAACGACACTTTTCCCTCCAAAAGGTCCAGAGCGAATCCTTTATAAATTGAGAAAACGAAGTGTGGCACTGGCATTGTGATTGCAAGATTGCATTGTGATTGCAAGATTTGCAGGCGAACTGTCTGCGGTCGATGCTGTTGCAAAGAGTACGGATTGATTTGCTAAATATATTATGTTATTTCTAACAATTAACACTTATGGCCTTCCGCAAGCCGAGACGCGTTAGAGCGTAGTTGTCCTTCGTTTTGTTTGTTCGGTTTCCTACGGGCCTTGCCTCATTGTATACTACGATTAATACTAGGTTTAAACTACAGTTTAAACCATGAACTGACTTTAAGTGGACCATAATTTGCTACAAAAACAACTTGGTCCTACAACAATAATAAAAACAAATAAAACAATTTGATCCCGCAACAGGTAACAATTATTATAATCTTAAAACTCCAACTATATGTATAGAATAAAGTTAACGACTTCAAAATACATAGATATCGTTAGTAACAATAGTAGAGCGCCTTGTGAAAAAGTTCGTCCAGGAAAGTACTGTCACCTTAACTATTTCTGCCGCCATGCAGTAATGTGACCATTGCTGCGTTTCGGCTTAGAAGTGTGCTGGTAAAATTTCAGGCACAGAACTTGTATCTCTGGCGGTCACAGTGACATACATGACATACATGGATGATCAGCGAACCCACTATAGCCCATGTGGCACTCAGGTGCAATCGACACCGGCGGCCTCTAGGAGGTGCGTTATCAAAATGGAATCATACATGCATAATTGTACGTATCTTATTTTTTTTTTAGCTATTATCTTAAGTACCATTTTTGAAGGAGTAGCGTATTAATTTATACTCTAGAATACATATTTGCCACCTTGTAGGTATTTTTATTCGTAAAAGGACTAGAATATTGAAATATTTAAAAAAGCGTTTCCCGGTTTTACAAATTAAGATTTCAGCATGGATTTATGGAAATGGCGTTTGGATTAACGTTCAATCAAACATTTATGCTTAATAACACTAAAAATCCGAAGTAGTTCGAATTTTGTGTCCGGAGTGTATTACTGTTCAAGAACACATTCCCTCACCTGAGCACAAATGACAATTAAAAATACTATTCAAGAGCAAAGTGACGCAAATGGCACAAAAAACAAATGCATTCCGGGATTGTTTCTCAAGTTGTCATTGTGAAAATTTTCATCTGAATGTCGACAGCGCGAAAACGTATAAAACATGTAGAAATTGAGACACAATTCTGTGTCTCTACTTCATTTGTGTGTGACCTCGTCAAGTTTAAGGGATCTATTTTTTATGCAGCAGGATATAACGTATGTATTTTACAGAGTGATATTTTATTCGTTTTCTGAAAAACGCTCTTTCTTACTGCGCGCGCACTCGTCTACGGACAATTGCATTAAAGTTACAGCTGGGTGGCATTTGAATTACTTTTACTTATTTATTTATTGAATAATACATAATTACTAATTAGAAATACGTACTACCTAAATGTCTTTAGTAATTGGTACTATTTCAAATATTTCTCTCTACTCCTGGTGTCCGATTCTACCGATTGTGTTTTGTAATTTGTATTTGATTTAAATGAAGTTAAAATATCGTATTGTGTATTTTATTGACAGTACAACTCATGAATATATTTCGTATCTTAAACAGCGGACACGCAGCATGTATTTTAACCGACTTCAAAAAAGGAGGACATTCTCAATTCGACTGTATGTCTTTTTTTGTACGTATGTTACTCCGGTATTTGTGAATCGATTTTCAAGATTCTTTTTTTGTTGGAAAGAGGGTACCTCCATAGTGGTCCCATTTAATTTTGAAGAAAATCATCCACCTCTAAGAGTGGTTGTTCACGCATGAAGATTCATTTTTATAAGTAGCGCCTAATTTTTATTATAAGGAGCAATTATTTTAATGGTTAATTTTGCTATTCTCCAATTCAAGGCGTTTTTCTCTCTCAATATACTTTGAGTAGTGAGAACCGATTTTATTCTCTCCTGTGTCAAGTCCCGTATAGTGGCGAACTAGGGGATGAATCCGGGTTTGCGCACTTTCCGGTAACCAGTTTTAATAAAACTTGGTAATTATATGTAATTCCACGTACTTTTGAGGTCGGTTTTTTAATACTCTGTACCTACTGAGTTTATGCCATTTATTTACTACTTTACGTGTAGGTACGTACATACATATCACGCAACACAATGACTATGAAATGCTCACGGGAAACGCTTATTGATAATATGTTCTCTATTAATAATTATTCCCAATAATATAGAGTAATTAGTAATAACTGTGTATACAGGGCGTCCCAAAGTTATGGGCCATGAAGGGGAAGTACCTTAAATATCGTAGATAGAGTATTTTGCTGAAAGAAGACTTTATGTTATTTTTAAAAGTTAGTAATTCTGCATTCATAGATTTAAAAAAAAATATTTGCTTCGTCTGGGAATAGAACCGACTTAAATGTCAAAAAAAGCACCCTACTTTTATGATACCAATCCAAAGAATAGCTAAAAAATAATAACTCTGCTTAAGTAACATAGTATTTTAAATGAAAGGAACAACGTGAAATTAATTATTTTAATCAAATTAAAAACATACATGAAACTGCCGTACCTAGTCAATTAAGTGGGTATTTTTTGTAAATTAATTAATTAAATGCTCAAAATGTGATCCCTCTTGTCTTACGCAAATCGCCAATCTTTTAATGAGTTCGCTGCCTGTTGATTTTCTTATCATTTTATGGTGAACACTCGATGTGATATGGATCAATTCTGTTTGCAACTCGCCCAGGTTCTCGCATCGCTTTTTGTATAGCATATCTTTTACGTATCCCCAAAAGAAGAAATCTAATGGTGTAAGGTCCGGGGATCTGGCCGGCCATCTAATAGGTCCATTTGTACCAATCCATATAGCAAAACTTTCACTTAGAAAATCTGCAGCTCTCCGACTATTATGAGCCGGAGCTCCGTCCTGTTGGAAAATTAAGTTTTCTTGCTCCGCCGCGGAAAGATTTCTTATCTCATCCATTAAAATTTGAAGTATTCCTAAATACTTTTCTGTGTTCAAGGTTCCTTGGTAAAAATGGACTAAGAAAACCCGGTTTTTTTAAAAGTCCGCACCAACAATTGAGTGAAAAACGCACTTGGTTATTCGTTTCAGTGACTCGTAGGGGATTTTCTTTAGACCAAATACGATTATTGTTGCGGTTATACATACCGTTATTGCTAAAGTTAGATTCATCTGTCCAAATAATATTATCCAAAAAATTTGGATCTTCGAGCAAGCGTGCCTGGATATCAAGACAGAAATTTTTTCTCCTTTCTGTATCGCCCGGAAGTAATTTTTGAACCAATCGTCCTTCAACATAACTCTTAAAACCGTGTTTTTTTAATACACGGTGTATTTTACTTTTCGAAATTCCAATTTCAAGTTCTCCTTCTCTCACTGATCTTTTCGGAAAAGCCGAAAAGTAAATTAAAATATCAAGTTCTTCGTCGTTGATCATGTGGTTTTCTTGCTGTGGTTCTCTTGGGCGTTTATCGAAACGTCCAAGAATTTTCAAATTGTTCACAAGCCTTTTCAAAACTTTACGAGACGGTATTTGTCTATCAGGATATTTTACGCTATACCACCGCAAACTTCTAGAGATATCTTTATCGTTCAAAAAATATGCTTCCATTAGATCAAAACTTACTTGATATGCCATGTTCGCAATAAATTAACACGATAACACTTGTGTAAGTAAATTAAGACTAAACAGATCAATATCCAAAATACAAACGCTCGCACACACTGTTCCATTTTCAAATTTGAGAACAACATTTAAAAATATTAGTTCTTTTTAAAATGTTTTAAAAAGTATTCATTCAAAGAAACGCTCTCATAAACTGTTCCATTTTCAAATTTAACAACAACATTATTTTTGTTTTAAATTTGCCTTCTGTCTAGCTTACAGAGGACGTATTGAAATACTAAGTTTTATCATTTTATCTACACGTGCACTTATAATGGAAAACTAGGTATGCAAGTATTTTATGAAGTGGGTACTTATTTACGAACAATCAATGCATCTTTGGAATGATAATATCGCTACTTTTCAAACGTCGTCGTCGGCAATAAATAACTTTCTTGAAATATGATTCAATCATTTCACGTTGTTCCTTTCATTTAAAATACTATGTTACTTAAGCAGAGTTATTATTTTTTAGCTATTCTTTCGATTGGTATCATAAAAGTAGGGTGATTTTTTTTTGACATTTAAGTCGGTTCGATTCCCAGACGAAGCAAATATTTTTTTTTAAATCTATGAATGCAGAATTACTAACTTTTAAAAATAACATAAAGTCTTCTTTCAGCAAAATACTCTATATACGATATTTAAGGTACTTCCCCTTCATGGCCCATAACTTTGGGACGCCCTGTATATTTAACAACTATGTGTATTGTATAACTATATATTATACCAAATACCTAGTCATTCTATACAATACGGGATTTCTTTCGGCAATGTACAAAATAGATAATATTTTTAAACTGTCATACAAATAGTAAATGACTATTTCTCAAAATATATGTACTTTTACAAAAAAAGGGGTGTGCCCCGAAATAGTAAACAAAAATACTATGTTGTTATTCAGTCATACAAAAATTTGAAGAAAAACACCTTAGTTTTTAATGCTACGAAGAACGAAAAGTGTAATCTTATTATTTCATTAATTATTTTAACTTTTTCAAAACAATGTTTTTACTCCTCATACAAAAATAAAATTGCCGCCTCCTTACGTCAAGTGTTTATCACTTCATAAAATACGAAATGTCACAATAATACGGTACATGTTTACGTATCACAAACTTTGATTGAATGTAATGTGTTAAAGTGGTTGGGTATGCGGTTTCAAAGTAAAAATTTAAGTAATATGCCAAAACCAAAATGAGTCATACCAATTTACTTTCCTTTGTTACGCTTAATTTCAACTTTCACTTAATTTCTGAGCTCATCCGTTAGATTTTTGCACGGGTGCCACTAGAATCATCCTTATTGGCTGTTGGTCTGGCGCACGGAAGAATTATGTGGTCTATGGTCTGGCGTCATCGGCCATATTTTTCATGACAATCAGCCCAAATGTGTTGGTCAAATTAAAGGTGTGTTTTCGTGACGTTACTAGTAAAGAACATTTTCACGATAAGGAGAGTCTTGATTTCTTTATCCCATTGTACGTATATATTACACTTGCAATATCAGGTTACAGTTACAACAAACCATTGGTTTAAAAACTCGTTTATGATCATATTTGTACTATTATTTCGGGAAACTACAAAAATTCTTCGCGTCCAAATTACCTCAATGACTCAAGACGAAAGTCTTTGACCACCAGTCTTTTGTGTGTGTTGCCCGTTATTACATATGGATCTAACACGTGGTCCCTCACTATGGACCTCATAAGAAGGCTCAAGGTCACTCAGCGGGGAATGGAGAGAGCGATGCTCAGTATTTCCCTACGTGGTAGAATCAGAAATGAGGAAATCCGTAGAACTATGGTAACTGACATAGCTCGAAGAATTGCTCAGCTGAAGTGGCAGTGGGCGGGGCACTTAGCTAGGAGAACCGATGGCGGTTGGGGCGGAAAGGTTCTTCAATGGCGGCCGCGCACCGGACGACTCTCAGTGGGTATGCCCCCCACCAGGTGGACCGACGATCTGGTAAAGGTGGCGGGAAGCCGATGGATGCGGGCAGCGTAGGACCGATAGTCGTAGAGATCGTTGAGGGAGGCCTATGCTCAGCAGTGGGCATCGTATGGCTGAATGATGATTTATAGTAATCATAATATTTGAAATAAGAATATATTTAAAAAAAATTGTTGTAATCAAGTTGTTTTGGTAAAATTGGTTTCAACTAATGCAAGATGCAAGCCATCAAGCTGTATAAATAGCGATTTTTTTCAGATGCCAATACGTAAAGAAAATTAAGTCTTCATTTACGTAATGTAAGTTGTTTATTGTTAGAAATTCAAATGTGTACATACTTTCCAATAAATAGCTAAAGACGAATCAATATCACGTAATTACATAGTAGGTGGAGTAACATTCCATTAACATGTCATATATATGTACATCAATAAACACAATTATCTATACGTACTGTGGACTCTGTGACTTAACGAAACGTTGAAGGAAACGCTCCGTTTCGGTGAAACAGTTGAGTATCGCAAGTAAGCGGGGCTTGGAGGCATGAAGTGGGGAATGCGACGAGGCAGTCACGTGCGAGCGAGCGTGGCTGCTTGGGGCACCCGTGCACATTTTGCCGCCCGTGCGCCCGTGCCATATTTTGACGCGCCCCGTCACCCGTCACATGACTCGCCGGCCGGCTATACCTTCTCTCGACTCGACTCAGAGCGGCCGCGAACCTCTCACGGCTACAACGTCTACGTCACGCATACCTACATGCAGTTAAACACGATAGCGTCATTAACTCTACGTGTTGTTTCGTCAAAAATGGATTGCGAAGACTTCACTTAAATAAGTGACCAGTGATAATACCAATGAGAACGGATTACGATGTGAAAATAATATTATTATCAATCTATTTTGAGTGTTAAGTGCTAATACGTGATCTCTTGTTTTTGTTGTGAGACTAAGTGAATATGGAGACACGAAATTATTGGGAGGAAAACGGGCATGCCGTCAAGTATGACAAGTAAGTTTTGAAAAATCTATTAACATTGTATTAACGGTACGGTATCCATTTTTGTTGTTGTTTTTGTTAGGTAATCACTATTTTTAAAGTCTATTTTGATGACGAGTGTGTTTCTAGTATTATTGTTTATTTAGAGAATCAGAATCTCAGTATAAAATTAAAGATAAATTTATTTCAATATAACTTTATCTAATACAATACAACGAAAACAAATGTAAATAAAGCTATGGCAGTATTAATATAAATAATTAGAAAGGAATCTACATTATTTATACAATCTTCAAAGTAAATCTTATGCATTTTAATATTAGAACCTAATGTGTAATTAATAGGGATCGGAAAAGGTAGAGTTTTTTTTTACCTAAACTTCGAGGAACATAGACCGAAAATGGAGACCGCCTTACGACAATATTTTTTAGGTTCTGGACCTGTTCGGGATTTGGAAAATCACTTAAGTACATTAAAAATTGTCGTAATTGCGGACAGGCATCGGATGTCGGATCAGTGATATTACTGATATTGGATTTTTTTTAGAGAGCTATCGTGAAAAAAATCCAATGTCCGCAATACCGCAGATCCGACCCAATGTGAGTCGCAAAGTTAAGACAAATATAGTGTACTTGCCTGACTGACGTAATGGGGCGTTAATTTTTAATGTTCTTAAGTGATTTCCCGAATCCCGAAAAGGTTCAGGACTTAAAAAATATTGTCGTAAGGCAGTCTCGATTTTCTGTCTATGTTCCTCGAAGTTTCGGTCGGGTAATCGAAAGGACGGAAGTTGATGACTTTAAGAACAGCTCTCTGCGCTCTTTCCAGGTTTATCAGTGTGGTCTTATGTGCACCGCGCCAGGATGTAATACAGTAAAGTAGCAATGATTGACAGAGGGCTAACTAAATACACTGATTTGAGAAGGGCGCTGTTAGCCGCATATCTAAAATCTTTAAAAACGTACCAATTTTCGAACTCTAGAAGTAAATGCTACAATGCGGTGTTTGAAATGAAGTTGTTGATTGATTATTTCACCTAAATATTTAATGTTGCTTGTGCTTCGACAAGCACAGAGGCATACATGAGTTCGAGGGCTTGTACAATGGTGAGCTGCTATTGCGAAAGCATTGTCAACAAATTGTAAGGAGATATAATATGAGAAATTCATATTGTATTTGGTTTTGTTAGTATTAAGTGTAAGGGCATTTGCTCAGAGCCGCTCGGTTACTGAGTTAAAACCAAATTGAGCGTGTGTAAGACATGATCTTACCACAGAGAGGAGAAGAGCGCATAGTTGGTTAATATAGACAAGGAATAGAATTGATCCTGTTATACTTTCTTGGGGAACACCATATTCAACCTTTAATTCATCACTCGTTATTTTGTTAATCATCACGCGCTGTTTTCTGTCAGAAAGATAGTCGTGTAAAAGTTTGAGCTGCATTCCTCTATTCCTATTCCTTTTAACTTGTTTAAAGGTATTGGTATGTTTACAGTGTCAAAGGCTTTTGCGAGGTCAAGGAATATAGCCAAACATTTATTCTTTGAGTCCAAATTTCTTACAGTGTAATCAGTTAGTTCATCAACTGCGTCGTTCGTCGATAGCCCTGGTCTGAACCCCAATTGACAAGATTCCAAATTATAATTGCGTTCAAATATTTTGCACCCTTATCAGCGTACACTCGAGCTGTAATTTTTACAGGGCCGTAATAAGAACTGTTAGGTGCCCCCCACTCATGTTGCTGTTAGATACCTATATCTGTGGATCTATAAAGTGACTCAAATACAACTTCATTAGAGTGAAAAAAGTGACTCTATATAATTTACTTTCCTCTGTTAAAGTATATTTGATCAATAATAAACATTTTATATGAATAAAAAAAGCAATAAATGATTCGAACTCTAATCAGTCACTTCGTTGCTCGGTGGGTATTAAAAAATATTTTCAGCTAGCAAACTACGTACCAAATCGTACCAACGTCACTCATTCAAGATTGAAATTTTAAAATAAGCGTATTACTTCCCTGATACATGTTCTATTACATTTTACAATTCTGCGACATTAATTATGTATATACTTTGGTCATACTGTATATAGCACCTAAAAATTTATACAATGTACAAAAATACAACAAAATTAACCTGGGAAACCGAAGGAAAGTTACTTTTCCTTCCTTCGCTTCGTAAGATTACTGTTTACTAATAACCAACGTAACTTTAGGAGAAAATCTTGAAAAATACTTGCTTTATGTATCTACCTGTACGAAATATTTTAAAGTATCAGAAGGATTGTTTTTGGCCACAAAAACAACTAGAGACAAAGCATTTTAAATTAATTATACTATTATCGTATATCGGAGGAGAATATAGTATATCATCTTCTTCATAATCCTTCGAAGTAATGATATAGATCATAGGTTCCCAAACTTTTTGGCTTACCGCCTACTTAGGCAAGATGAAAAAATTTCATCTTGCCTAAGTAAAAAAAAATGTAGTGTAGTTTATATAGATAATTCAGTTTTTTTCAAATGCGGTAGCACTGGGGGGCACTGACGAGTCCTAAGGGGGTAGGAACCACTTTGGGAAACTATGATATAGATGCTCATTTGGATGGTTTACCGATCTGTCAGCTCCTATTCTTCGATCTAATTAGGCTTCTCCTATTTATTTCTACTTTGCCAACTTTTGTCAACTTTTATATCTGAGATGCCATTACCATGAACTAATTTAATTATTGTGCAAAGGTGTATAAAGATGAAATGAAATTATATACAATTTTACACGAAACGTTACACGTGGCGCAAATAGATCTTCTTATCGAATGAAAACGTACCGCACGTGTACTCGGTTGTTGTACTTTTATTTGCATTGCAATAAAGCAGCGTGTCTATTTGTAACCTACATGCAGAAATGTCGAGAATAATCTATATGCTTGTAGTCACACAAGCATAAAGATCAATCTCGAACATTGAAAAATATTGCTTCTTCTACTTTCTAAGAACCTTAATTTTAGTCACGTTTATTAGAAACGTACATATGACCTGAAATCATCTTTAAAGATGACGTAAAAATGTAACATACTCATGCAAAGATATTTTAGATGGAAAGATATTTTATTTTAAAGCTTTAGTAAGTTGAATATCCTTGAAAGTGACTGAACCAGCGCGGTACGTAAAGAAAGTCGAAAATGTCGTCTAATTAAATACACAGTAAAAAAGTTGACTAAGACATAAACCAAGGAATTTACCATTTCATTATTCGACCCTAAAGCTACACGACACATTCATAACGTGTTCAGTTTAGTGGTGCATGTGCATAGTACGTGGAAATCTGTGTCATTTTGCCACCTGCACGCGCTGACGTCATTGCAACGTAGTTATTTATAAGCTGTATAGTCGCGAGTTCAATGTTATTTCAATAGTTCAAAGCTTGTCTTGTACACTGGTACAACGTATAACTGTATGTATTACGCATGTTATAACCTACATTTGGTCTGTTTACGTTTTGCACCTCATAAATACTTACATCAATTTAATTTATTACTTTCGTCATCTTAGACAAAGGCAAATGAAGCAATGTCCCAATTTTAAGTACAATACATACGTATTGATATCAAGTATAGCTAGTACAATCAGAAATTAATGTTCTTTAATCAATTTCTCAAGCGGCATTCCGTAACGTCTCTGTTAAATGAAATACATATATGTATATAGCCTTGGGACAAACAACACGTTTATTAACAAATTTATTAAATCTAACTCCAATAGACCGTTAAATGGTAGACTGACACACCGATATTAAATAATATCCAGTATTTGTATCGAATAGGCGGCGAAAGCGGGCGAGACAAAAATACCACTTCAGCACGAGACATGCGCGAGTCGCCATCGGTAGCGGGCGCAGGGGGTCCGAGCCATGTCTGAGCTCACTCGCGCGAGGGGTTCTATGCCACACGCCGCGGAAAACGTGACCCGAACCCACACAGCTAAACCTCAGCACGTAAACATCCACACAAACGCAAAGTGCTCACGTTTTTATCGGCTGATGTGGACTATACTCTATTACTAATTGCTATCAAAACGTTACATTATTTAGTCCATATTTCTGATAAATAACATGTATAATTCGAGATAAGGTATAAATTGCTAGGTATATTATTAGCACCTATTAATAAACTTCTTTGAGGTATAATATACATATTATTTACTTAACCGCCTAAGTGGTCGAACGGTTACCATGCCTGTCACGCAAAGGTCCCAGGTTCGAATCCCGGGCCGGGAGAAATATTTATATGGCCTACATTTATTTCTCTCGTGAGTTTGGTTGTAATTTGTGGTTATCTATGTGTGTGTTCATGGCAACCGCGACACAGGGTTTCCCTAGTGCGGGGCTATGTTGAGTGTGTGCGTTGTTATTATTATTATTATTATATAACTATGTACTCGAGAATATTGTACATAATTCTGTAGGTATCGTTGTATTAATTTCTAGTTTTCTTGTTAGGAAAAAAAGCTTTGTTATATCTATGACACTTTACGCACGTCGTGGATATGTGGCAAGCTGCCAGAAAATGTTAATTTTAATTTATTTTTAATTAATTATTTTAATTTTTTAATTACATTAATTCAATAGTTTTATTCATTAGGTAACATACTCTCGATATCAATTTAACTTCAAATCAGGTTTGATATATTATAAATAGACTGGGCAGACTTAACTATTACGACCTGTATATGTATAATAATAATGAGAGCGTTTTTAACTCATCCATAGCCCTGCACTAGGGAAACTCTGTATCGCAGTTGCCATGGACACACACATAGACAACCTCAAGTTACACCCAAACTCACGAGATAAATAGATGTAGGCCTTACAAATATTTCGCCCGGTCCAGTTCATTAATCAGTATCTAATGACTATTTAAAAAATTATGACTTTTGGAATTTTCCTATATTGGAATTTTCCGATTGACTGTCAGACAAACGCTTGGGTAAAATTTAAGTGTATCTAG